AATCGACAAAATAGATGAAGATATAGCATTGGAGAAACACTTTAAGCCTATCGTCGAATTTTTAAAAACAGATTGTCGAGAACACCGCTAATGATGAATCTCAACCAATTAAGAAAGAAATCAACGTTATAAAGAATAAAAATATTAAGAAAAAAAAACTGAAGATATTCAATAACATAATGATGATAATGATGGTGATGGCTTTTGGATGGATAATTCATGGCTTCAATTAACACCGTCATTTAAAAAGCAACGTACAAAAGAATCGAATGTTATATCGAATTCCAATTATGCATTGCCTGAACCGCGAATTATCGTACTTATTCGCACATTCCCTCAGTCGAAAATGTTTATGAACCTCTTGAAACATTAGTTAAATAATCTTTACAAACGCGACAAGTTCGTGAGGGGTTGCATAATCAATTGGGGATATTTGGAAAAATATGTAAACATGCTTCTCAGTGGAGAAAAAGAAATCGATCACATTTATGGCGTGTATTTTAGCGAGAACAGCGCGATGCTCGGAGATAAACAATTCGATATAGACGAATGATCATAAACGCAGATGGAGTAAAGTACAAAGGTTCACTTGTTTGTACGAACTAATTTTCAAAAGAATTCCCGATTACATTATTTACACAGAGGATGATAAACTAGTACAAAAGTATTGTTGGCAACGAATGCTCATAAACGCAGCATAATGCGGACAATCCAATATTGGGTAACAAAGGATATAAATATAAGAATAATAGCTTTGATAAGATACAGGATAGGTTGAAACGGATATATTAAAAATATAAACAACAAGTCAAAGATAATATTTTTGAGGCTTCCACAAATGCTTTTTATATAAAGATTATGCGTTTCGCGGATTTCCTCTGTGTCCAGATCCATTTTTGGAAATGCGAATTCGTGACTCTTGCAGTCCACTTTATCAGGGCGAGGAGCAACCTGATACAGTATCATCCCTGATGAAGTGGACTGCAAGATTCACGAATTGGCATTCCAAAAATGGATTTGGACACAGAGGAAACCCGCGAAACGCATAATCTATAAATGCATAATAAAATCAGTAAAAGAGTCGGAAAAGGTGTAATACCACGAATCAATCCTAAATGATAATAAAAGCGATTATATTCATTATATTGGGACGGTCTTAATGAGCTAGTGGCTCGTTTCCGATTGCTTGAGGTCTCGCGTCAGGCAGGTCACAACGCCTAATTATAAAATATTGTCTATCATCGAGGAGCTTCGTGAAATTAACTTTATTATAGATTAAAACGGGAGTCATTTTAGTTGACATCAAAATGCCAATGAACAATATTTTCGTAAGAACTTTGTGATTTTTTACGTATTATAACAATAATCGTATTACAGCAATAATAACCTAACGTAACATGTCTGAGAAGAAAAGTGGCGATTGGTAGAAGAATTGCACGCTCCAGCGAGAAAAAATTTTCCATGCGGAAAACACGTGTCATAGTTTACGGATATGATGATCTGTGACAGGCTGATATGCTTTAAGTCGAGATGCTTTACTCCCCCCTTATACGATTCCAAAGGTTATTTTTACATTCTCACCGTTATCGATGTGTTGAGTAAATACGCATGGGCCGTACTGTTGAAAACCAAGAGTGGAAATGAGATGGCTTCAGCGATTGCAAAGATAATTCGAGATGATGGAAAATATCTGAAAAATTTGTAAACCAATATGGGAAAAGAATTTTACAACGCAAACGTGCAAAAACTTTTGAAAAAACACAAATAAATCATTATTCAACATTTCTTAAAGGCATTTCATTTCTTGAAGGCATCTGTCGTTGAACCGTTCAATCGTACATTGAAAAACGATATGTGAAACAATTTACACACAATGGAAATTATAAATGGATCGACTTGCTTCCACGTCTCTGAGTACAACGCGCGAAAGCATTGAATCGGTATGCGGTCCATACATACTATTCATAATGTACATATTATACATTATATACAAGTATGTTTTTATTAATAAAAAAAATACATAAATGCGAAAAAAAAATAAATTTTTTTATAATAATATTTTATAATGTCCCCATGGCAGCACGTCGGTAGAATCTGGAACAATGTACCACTTATCGTCGTACGGACTCAGAGCAATTTTCGGATATGATGTATACTTCGTGCAATTTCGATCTTATGCACGACTGTCTGCGCGTCATTTCAGTTGTGTCACTGTTGAAACACTGCGTATAATCATTGAACGTTATGGATTTCGCTACAACGCTTGACGCTCTTGACGCCCTTTGCCTTCTTAGTATCTTTTTTGCTATCGATGCGCAAAGCGTACATTTTCGCTCTAAGCTCAACGATCGATCATCGAATTCGATCATGATTGTGCTATTGTTTTCGTCTTTCATTAAACCGGAACTTTTTTACTAGGAATATCGTAAGCATTGTCGATTGCATAATTGCTTGTATCGAATCTATTGATATTGAGTTTCATAACAGTAGACATCGTCGCACTCAATGAGATAAGTAAGGTTATCCGTGTTGGTATACATAATTTTACATTTTTCATGAAAGAAATAACATATACTCGTGGTGGAAATTCGTACACACACGTTTTAGATATACCATATCGAGGATGCACTCACGTATATCGATTTGTCGAATTTCACCTCGAGTTTTTGCATTTCTATCGCAATCACGTTCTCGGAAAAAACGCTTCTACTGTGAAAGTTTCGTGATCATTGCCTCCACACGTATCTGCCTTCTCATTTTGTAATTTCATTTAATAATTTTACATCGACGTGGTTACGCATTCTCCATGATCTTGCCGCGTTTCATTAATTTGAATAAGTTTTTCTCGAACTCATTTTTTGCTAAAGTTCTAAAATTTGTATTGAGTTCGATGTACTCACTAAGCCGTGGAGATTGCATATACGAATTGCAGTATACGAATCTTTGTAATGTATAGACCGTGACGAGCACATTGCTGCAGATTGCGATAATGCATGACGTAACGCTTTTTATCATGTCGTGAGAAGCTTCTTCTCTTGCTTGTCGGGTAATTTCTCGCACGTTGGACAAAACGGTAAATCGGAGTGCGCATCGGAAATGCAGATACTCCAAATCAACCTCGAAAACGTAATCTATCGATGAATCTAACGTGACATTCATAACATCAAAATTGTTTACGTCGTTGACCCAGCGAAAATGACAATGGTTGATCATTGTCTAACCGTATAAATTGACGTCATAGTATATCAGGCATAGTATATCAGTACGTCGACAATTTCATTGGATACGACTGCATGTACTTATTGTACGGCTCTTGCATATCTGTTGGAACATTGGCTCAGACCCTCGCGTATATCGCGCTCGATAAACATTATCATGTCGATGTCTGTGAGTAATTCGAAATTGATGCGAGTATGTTTCAATATTGCGTCTCAAAACCTGGTAGTGTATAATAATACACGGGGTCGAATCCATAACTTGTGATGCAACTAAAATTTTCAAAGACAACAACAATACATCTGTTTTTAAATACAGGTCGCTTTATTCGCCGAGAGTTCGAATGGAAAATAGCTGCTATACATTCACGGCGTGCGCATAATATGGATACGCTTTCGGATACAGTACCACCAATGAGCTACAAAAAGATTCGCATGATGGTAACTCAGCTTCCTTCAATTTTTCAACGCAGTCAACATATACTCATATGAAATACCGCGTTAATAAATCGAAATTTTCTGCGGATAAATTAAAAAATTCATGTATTATCCGTAGTTTATCTTTATCGAGATACGATGCCAATTTTTCTAAACTTGAGACAAGAAATTTAAACGATTCAATAAAATGTAATTTTATATTATATAAGTTTTTTTTATCATTTTCATCTTTGGTGCCGTCAACGTATTTGGTAAACGAAATGGATTTTTCTTTCGGTATTGGTAATAAATCTATACATTCTTCGTAAGTAGTGACTATTTTGATGAAATGTGAAATGCGTCGTATCCCGATAAATTATGAAAAACTATGAGAATGCAATGCGAATCTTTGTAATTTAAGTTGCAATTTGAATGCGCGAGGTCTCTATATCACCCGATGAGATGACAATAATCGCGTATGTCATCTTTTGCGAACGGCTTCTCACACACGTGACAGTACGTAGCGCTGTTACATTTTATTCAATCGTCTCGTGTAAAATCTGTCATGGAAACGTTAGCCGATAAAATAGTTTTGACGTTATGTGCTAAATTTTTTAGTTCTTCGGCGAACCGTGTTATGCAATCGTTATCGCGATAAAACCGGTATTTCAACAGCGAGTCATCGTATGAGCAATGAACATAATATTAAAAACTTGATGATGTTGATATGTGTAGCTTAATGTCCATATCTCCCTTTTCCATTTTTTCCAGAGTGCATTTCAAAATGGGACGCGCTTCTTTCTGCAGTAATTGCTGAAACTTAATCCTCTGTTGTTCTCACTAGGCAGCCTGATCGCACAGTTGTTAAATTTTCCACTGCTGTGTGAATCTCCAATTTTGCGATAGATCGTAAGCATCTAAAAAAAAATTATTTTTATAAAGAACATTTTTTTATTACAAAAAAAATTTTTTTCTTAATTTTTAATTAAATATATACACACCGATTGCAAAAGTATTTTATGCTCATTTTTGTTGATTTGCGAGGTGGGATAGATCCTTGATCAACAAAATGTCTCACGTTATTATTTTGCGGATCCTGCACATACAAATAGATTGACGTGCTTGCTTCTCTTTGTATCGATGAGCCGTAATGGAAGGATCATTCCGGCGTTTTTTAGCTGGGTGTAGAGCGGCAATCACCGATCATGCGAAGCACGCGTTGCCTAGAGATTGCACTCTCTTGATTTTAATTTCTCGTGGGAATTCGATGTGACATCCCGCGTGTAGAGGATTGTACTTATTTATGTTTGCTGTTAAATTCAGTATACATGACAGCATCCACCCACTCGAGCTCCTGGAATTCCTCCAGCGATATCAGGATAGATTCGAATCTACGCGTATCATTCGTGTAAATCGGATAAACGGAGAGTTTATAATTTCTGGTACTCACACTTTTATTTGTATGTTTATCGCCTGATTCATCGCACAAATTCACATTAAACATTGTATTTATCTTAATATAATGTTTCTGAATGAACATTTTGCACACTATTTTTTTCGCATCTTCGAGGAATTGGCAAAGTTCGATGTGTTCAAAGTTTTATCATAGCACAGGCTGCCAATATACGGCTTTCGAACGTCGTATCAATCTCGCGCCATCGAAGTCCCGCGCTATACCGGGCACCCACTTACACGAAACATCCACGCATCGTATCTTTCAAATTCTCGAGTCGCGCGATACAAGTGATCAATGATTTAATTCCAGTCGATAATCGCGGACGCTTAATTCAATTCTGTTTCTCCAGTGATTCGATGAAATTATCGCAACGCTGTTCCTATGCAAGAAACTCTTCTCGCGTATTCAATTGAGCGGCTTGCGCTATGAGATCACGCTTCATTTGATCAATATTGTCTCTGAATTGTTGCTCGATTACTGATAAAATGAATTTCCAGAGAAAAAAATCTTTTTGTTCTATATAGTATGGAAAGATGCATCATTTAGTTTGCTGCACGTTTTAACATGTTTGAACATGTTTTAACAAATTTTAACGTGTTTCTAAAGGGGCGATTTTTTATTGCAGTCGTAAAGATAGACCAAAAAAAATTTTAAAAAGAGAATGGGAACAGAGACTGTCGATTCCCAAAGATAAAAAAAAGGTTTGATATCAAAATGCATTCTTGTGATGTCATTGCGTAGTTTAACGTATGCTAGATAAAAGTTACAGTGAAAAATTAATTCGCATATTTCTGAAGATAAACAAAATTCCAGAATGAATACACTGTCTAAAATTCATTTTTAAAAAGAGAATAGGAGCAGACAGACTTTATTATTGTCATTGGCATTGATTCTTTAGATAAAAAAGATTCGATATTGTTAGAGTGCATTCTTATGATATGTGTTAATTTGGTATCCTTGGACCACGTTGCAACTTCTTCAAAGTATGTAATGTATATAAAAAATGTCCCCTCCATTTTAGGGTGGGTAAAAAAAAATGTGGAAGGGAACACTATTTAAAAGAAGAACTCCGCAATGTTATCGCATCAATTGTTCAGAGAGCTTCAATGGAGTTACAGCTACTGCTAATTATAAGTTCTCCGAGAAAATAAAATATCTCAAGCTATTACGTTCCAATTCAGGCGTGCAAGAAACAGTAAGTTTATTTAATTTTATAAAATATTTGCTTACGTATTATATATTTTTGTAAGATCTATTTACATGTTTTCTTTTTTTCTACAGCATTTTCTCAAACATCGTCTAGGATATCTTCGAAATCTCGCTACATGCCGTATCTCGATGAGGAAATATGCATTGACATCTACAGCGTACAAATTCCTGGATATTGGAATCGTTGTGAGATCTACATTTCATGTGCAAATTGCGATTGGCGATAATCAAGGCAATCACATGTTCATACCTCATGCGAGAGGTATGAACATGTGATTGCCTTGCAAATATCGAGCGATTAATGTAGTCAGTCCCATTATCATTATCGATTCAAAATCTAAATGTGGAACTTGTTAAAATATATGATACGAATAACGAAATGAAATTAACATTAAATGGCATGTTTATACATTAAACCAACAATTGTGCTTTTCTTATTTGAGCTTAAGCAATGTATTGAACATGTATTCTATGAAATGAGTCAATATATGCATGATGTTAGTAAGAAATTCGAATATTTTGTGTCATTTTTAAGTAATACAAAATTGTATTAAAAGCTGCAAACACTTTGCTACAAAATTTATGACAAAAATTCTTATAGAATGTGAACTAATAGTCTATGATATATATAATATTTAGATTATATTACACATATTATACATACTGCATTACATGATAAATAAATGTATGTTAAAAAATATATTTTTTTCTTCTAAAATTATTTTAGCTCTAGTATTTTCGCCACTTTTTCTTCATATCTTCATATTTTCATATCTTCTTCATATCTTCGTAGTATTGAATTAGTCAATAAGAAAGCGCGCTTGACCATTTGTATTACATTGATAAAAAAAAATATTATTATAATTAGTGTTACTAAGTTATATTATTAAAAATTCATAAAAATATTATCATAATAATATTATCATAGTTTTTAAGTCGTATCATTAAAAATTGTAAATACCATATCTATTTAATTAAATCACGTGCAAGAAGAAAACAACATGGGAGAGAGCGCAACTGGAGAAAGAGAGAGCACAAATAATAAGTATAGGATTGCAAGTGGAAGAGAGAGAAACAATGGATGGAGAAAGAGGACAATAGATTAAAGAGAAAACAGGTGAGAGAGAGAGAGAAGGAAAACTTTTCCTCCTTTATCATGGACCCCGGTGACGTGCTTCCTCCTTCCCAACGTCTGTGAAGCACTTCCCTCTCCCTGATTCCCTCACACACACACACACACACACACACACACACACACACACATGTATACGCACTAACTAGTGGGTTAGAACCTATATCTACTAAATATAATATGTGGAATACTGTGGCAAGCATTTCTTATTCATCTTTTCATATCGTTTCTCGTTGTTGGCGGATTTCAAAAAATAATATTTTTAAGATAGCTTCACAAATAAAAATCTACAGGTATAAGGTCTGGAGATCTTGGAGGCCCGGCGACGTATTCACTGCGATCAATTCATCGAGGTGCACAGTGTGTATTTAGAAAGTTTTACAATGCGAGAATAATGCGGTGGTGCTCATGTTGAATCCACATCTTTAATCGCGTGTCGAGGTTAACATTTGGTGATAGCCTCGGCAGTCTTTTGAATCAAATGTAAATAATTTTCTCTGGTAACGGTACGATTAAAAAAATAAGGACTAATGATCTGTTCAAAATTTTAGAATTTAAAATTCCGCATCCTATATTTAAAGACTAGCGATGTTGATTGTCAACATCGCTTGTCGGAACTATCTTGGATTTTGCGTCGACTAATAATGACTATTGTGTCGGTTTAATGTACCATTGCTATAAAATGTTGTTTCATTATTAAACATAACGAAATTGAAGAAACCAGAAATTTGATTTGCAGCCCATCGGCAATTCAACTTTCTGCCTTCAATCGTTTTCGTTTAAGGCCTGAACTAATGTAATATGATAAGGATGGTATCTAAAGGATTTCAGAATTCTACGTGCTGTTGATCTTACAGGCACTCCTAATTGACTCTATTTTTACGCCTATAAGTTCAGCTATTTATCGTAGCAAGGCGCTGTAACACAAGCACGAATCCATGTACATGTGCTCGCCTTCGACGAACCTGTGTATGGGGCTACCGGTTTCGTCAGGTCGCCATCTGATTCTGTGTTGCCACCGTCAACGCAGAGTTCTCAGCTAAGTATTCAGAAGCCTTAATAAAAGAACTTTTTTTTTATGGTGTTTTAAATAGTTTTTGAGCTACGAAGACATGTAATGAAAAATAAATGCTTTTATTTAATTTAAAAAAAAACTCAAAGTGACCTTGCCCTAATCTTGACAATGCCACCCAAGATCAAATCAATGATACCATCTTATGTCCCTTTTAAAGTAACAAACTTTTTTTCTTTAAAATAGTATTCAAGAGATATTTGGTGATCAAAAATAAAATGGCACACCCTGTGTATATATAATATATACAGGATGTTTGATAATTAACAATAAAACTCTCTTATAGTGAAAAGTAACGTATTGACGTCGAAATTTTTTTTTGCGTGCCATTTTGTTATTATGTAAAATTGTGACTTCATCTCATACTTATCAAAATTGTAACAATCGGAGACAAGTTATTCTGGAATTTTATATATAAAAGCATATTTTTCACTACTTTCAATAGCTGTTAAATTGTGTGTTTCCTGCCGAAAAGTCTTCACTTTACTTTTTATGATTATTTATTGATGACTATCAGGGGAGATAAAAAGAATCTTCTTCAAATTTCACAACTTTTTAAAGATCTCATCATTTCGTTTCATTCAATTTTTTTTTATTTACAAATGACACGCATGAAAAATCAACGTGTCATTTCTCGCTTATGACGTCACGATTTCAACATCATCGCGACTAGTCAGGAGCCTTAAGTACCCAGCAAATAAGAATGGATTGAAATGGATTCAGATTTTTAGAAATATGAATTCATGAATGTTAAAATGAATCTTTTTTAATCTTGAATGCATTTTTATTCATTTATAGAAATTGGATAGAACATATTTCCATGCCTTTCAATCTAAAAATAATATTAGCATTTTCTGTGTGCATCGTGGATACTACTCAATTCAAAATTGTGAATAGGAAGTACAGTTTTTTAGTTCATTTAAAAATAATATCAGCAATTTTTGTACGTGAATACTGCTCAATTCAATATTCTGAATATGAAATGCAGTTTTCCAATCTAATTGAAGAATAAAAAAAGTTTTTATTTAAAAATGGACCATAAATGCTACTTAAATTATTCAAAATTATAAATAGGAAATTTTTCGTCTTAATCCAACTAAATTGAAAAAAGTTGTAATGTAAAAATAATTGAGCTATGTTCTTTTGTTTCTTCTTAATTAAAAGTAAAATGATTGATCGAGGTGAACACTCACAAACCAAGTTGAACACAGCTCGAATATTTGCTAATCACGGCGCGCGACATCGGCCAAGCGAGGTTAGATTATCCGACACTTACCTAATGTTGTTTCATAGTAATGTAAATTTACACTTTGTAAATTGTTTATACTGTATTATATCTGTTAATGATGATATTTTTATTATATCTATACAATTTCATTACTTTCATTAATTTAGCTGTAATTGAAGTAGAAAATGAATAACACATTTATCAATTGAAGAAATGATATAGCGGTTAACGTAGAAGATTCATACATAATCCAGAGATCCCAGGTTCGAATCCTATTGAGATGCGTTTTTTAATATCAATTTGATAGTTAATTTCAGATATACTTATTATAAATATCTTAGGAATAGAATTTGTAACCCTTAAATATGAATGTTTTTTTTTTTTTCGAATATTAAACTAGTGCTAGCTCGGATACAATCCATTCAATCTATTTTCATGGATTTAAAGTACGCATTAAAAAATTTTAATCCATTTTAATCCATTCTCGTTTGTTGGATACTTTTCGAGTTATATGGCTTGAAAGTTATATCACCGCACTGGATTGTGTTCCAAAATTCAACTCTATCAACTCTAGTATCATTTTATGTTTTTTTGTCACCAAATGTTGAATAAAGATAAAAGATATTCGGAATTGACAGAATTAAGTTTTGGAATGCATCTCTGAGAAAAAACGAAATAGTAGTGGCAACTATAAATTTGACAACTTTTGCAATTTAAATATCTAAAGTTTTACAAAATAATAGCAACTAAAGTACTGAATATTATTACATACGCGTAATGAAAGGCACATTCGTGAAACTTTTGCGAACTTCTCTTATATAGACTCGCATGGGAATAAATATAATATTACAGCTTAGAAAAAGAGAACATTTTTTATTGACAGATATCAAAGACTCAGAACAGAGTCAAAGACAACAGAACATAAAACACGAAATCGTCAGGGGGAAGATCTTTTTCTATCTTCACGAGCCATAACGGTCTGGCACTCGATTCAAGGGAAGTTCTAGTGCGCAACAATATTACAAAAAATATAGTCACTGTAACAATAATGTAAATTTACACTTTGTAAATTGTTTATACTTTATTATATCTGTTAATGATGATATTTTTATTTATTATCTATACAATTTCATTACTAATTTAGCTGGTTGTAATTGAAGTAGAGAATGAATAACACATTTATTTGATAATTATAATTGAAGAAGTGATATAACGGTTAACGTAGAAAATTCATACATAATCCAGAGATCCCAGGTTCGAATCCTATTGAGATGCGTTTTTTAATATCAATTTGATAGTTAATTTTAATTTTTGATAATTAATAATGTAGATATTATTACTTAGTAAGTGAAATAGTGACTCAACTACATTAAGTTAGTCACTTGGACTTTATGCAAATAGATATAACAATTACATTTTTCCAGTTTAGACAAAAAATTTTTTTTTAATAAAGCACTCTATATCATAGTAACTAATTAATAATTGTTGAGACTTTAACTTTAAGGAATACATTCAAAACTTTTTCTCTGAAGTCACTCAGAATAAACAGTACACGGCATTGTCATCAGAGGGACATAGCAGAAGTCAGTTTCTTCTAAGAAAAAAAACTATTTGCAGTTTACAATACAAAGCGCAAGTATTGGATTCGAATTTAGAAAATAAAGGAAAAATGCACACAAAAATTTGTAATTATGTATTATAAAATTTTAATAAGAACAATAAGTACACAGATAGCTAAATCTGAAGAGCTAGATTTTGAGCAGAGTCTGTTACTAATTTTTAATTACAGAAGGCAATAAATTGTACACAGAGTTTGTACTGTACTCAGATAATTGTACGAGGACTGTTTGATAAATAGGGAAGAAACCACTTTTAAAAAAAATTTTTTTTTTATTTCTCTACATAATCTCCTTTCAGCTCGATACATTTAGCCCAACGATATTCCAACATTTTTATACCGTTTAAA